AAGCGAAAACTACGTAAAACAAGGCTTCTAGTCAACATGAGAAATCAGCACATGGATCTTCCTTATTACCTTTATAGGCAGTTACATAACAGCAGGTTCCGTCCACCTTTTCAGTAGGAATTGCATTGTATATATCTGCCTCTAATGCCTTTGCAGTTATAGTTTCGGTTGCCAAAACTTTAAATGGCTGAAAAGAAGACAGGTATTTTAAACTCTCATCATGGCTATGCTACTGCCTTGTTCTCATATGGATTCTTGCTCCTTAGAGTTGGCCTCTACAAGTCCAGTATTATACATTATATTGCTGACTTCTAATCCTATCAAAACGCACCCTTGTTTCTTCACGACATGAGTTTGGAAAATGCTCTAAGACAAAAGAACAGAGGCAATCTGTTTGCAAACTCTCACTCTCTTTTCCAGTCTTGATTAGTATTTAGACTTTGCCTTCCGCTTTAAATAGTGCATATATACTAGAAGGGTTCCAATCCAACGCTACAAAATTTTGAGATGTGTCTTCCTGTATTATGATGGCAACAGAAATTCATCATAACTAGCTGCTCCAAGCTTGTAGTTTAGAGCTGAAAGTCAGTAGCAACATATTAGTGCAATACACAGACCAGTGGAATGCAAGGTGGCAAAAGCATCCTGGTATTACATACTTAGTATCAGGGCTGTCAACTAAACACTTTTCTGCTTAAAAACAGCAAAGAAGTAAGTGATCCAGGGGTCTGAAACAACTGTCCAGCCACAAATACTCCAAATTTCCCGGAGGACTTCTATAGGACTTCTGTAACAGTTTCACTTCAAACATGTAATCAGTTGTGTTTGGACTCAAATGTTTTCTTGTATAATCATCACCCCTCCTTCCTCTCTCCCTAGTCAACTGACTCATAAGCAAGTCACTGCCTCTCCCTGCTAGCAAAACACAAAGCAAGTCCTCGTCTTGCAAAAGTCTCAAAACAGAATTTGAAAATTCATAAAATTAGAAGCTTCTACATGCTTTCATTGCATTACATGGCTGTTTTATATTTTAGTACTCAGATCTGTAAGCACAATATACATCATATATGAAGATTTAATGAAAATTACAGGAAAATTTTTAAGGTAGTGAGAAAACATACCCACTGGTTTTCTCAACACCATGCCCCTTCTTATCTAGCAGTCATAGCCCCCTGTATTATCATTGCTTGCACTTTGAAAAACAAAAAAATAGCATAAAGCAGTTTCAGATCTAATATCCTGTCTACTTTTTCCTTATGAAGGAACAACAATGTAGGGAGGTACCTCACATAACTGTTATCAAGATGATGTTGGTATTCAAGAGTTGGAAAATGCAATTACTGACATATTGGCAATCATTTCTGCTCGGCCACCCAGAACTCAAACATCAACAGGAGAAAGTCACGCACATGGATTCAAGTTTGCTATGCAGCCCACAGATAGCAGTAGCCGCTGCTACTAAAATTGGGAAACACATCTTGGCGGTCTACAGCTGAGCAGGCAAATGCCACTCCAGTCCGTCCCAACACTGCCAGTTACGTCTCAGGAAGAAGTAACTTTGATTGGGCTCCATTACTTTCACCTTGGTAAGCATCCCACGTCTTACAGCCTCCAATGAACGCTTCTGTCATACGCCTCATACTCCTTTTGCTCACAAAAAAAAAAGGAAAAACGCCAAAAAAAGACAAGCTTATTTGTTGCCCACTAGGCTGACAGGTGGGGACAGCAGCCGGGTTTTACACACACACCCCATGCGGTCAGGCTGCAGGGGCCTCATTCATGACCACGGCTGTTCCCGACACTCGGAAAAAGCAAACACATCAGGGTGAGCACCGGGACGCACCTGCCAGAAAAAGAGCGGGGCCGAGCCGAACCGGCACCCGAGCGACCTGTCCTTCCTGCACTTCACGGGGAGCAGCCCTACGGAAACCTCTACCGTGAATTTCCCCTCAAGAGCTGCGGCGAAACCTCTCGCCACTCGCGTGTCCCTGCCTTCGCAGCGGGGCCGCGCCGGGCCGGGCGGCTCTGACGGTCGGTGCCGCCGCCTGGCCCCCGCACCGCGGCCCAGCGACTCGCCCTGGCCCCGGGACTGCGGCCCGCCCGCCCCCCCCGGCCCCCCGACCCCGGTGCCGCCGCGGCCACCTGGCGCTCCCGCTTGGTCGACGGCTCCTCCTTCACCTCGGTCACGAACAGACACGGCACCTTCCGCTGCACCGCGCCCCGCCGGCTCATGGCCGCAGCCACGCGCGCCCGCCGCCGAGGCGCCCCCGCGCCTGCGCCACCTCCCCCCCGCCCCCGTGGGGCCCGACGGGAAATGGAGGCCGCCGCCGCCTCCGCCGCCCGCCCGGGGCCTTCGCCACTCGCCTGTGCGCCGGGGCCGGCCGCGGCCGCCGCCGCCCCAGCAGCCCTCCATCAGCGAGGCGGTGGCTCCGTCGCTTTCCGCTCATCGGCCCGGCCGCGGGTTTGGGGCGGCTCCGGCCGTGGCGGGGCCCGGCGCCGGGCTGAGGCGGCCCCGGTCGCGCGCCGAGCCCGTTGGCCGTGAGCTGTTGGCGCAGCCGTTTCCCCGGCCTGGCAGCCCTTCCTCAGGCCGTCTCGTCTGCTTTGCGGGGTGCCACAAGCCTGGGCTTGGGGAACCTACCCGTGTCCGGTTTTGCTCCTTGCTGTTCCCGGGGCTCCCTGCCTCGGTATGCAGCCTTGGCGTAGGGGCTGGGTTGACCCCGCCTGGGCGCCAGGTGCTCGCCGAAGCCGCCCTGTCCCTGCCGTCCTCAGCTGCACAGGGAGAGAAGATCCAACGAAGGACTGGTGGGGCGAGATCGGGGCAGGGAGAGATGGCTCACCCCTTACCAGCACGGGCAAAGCAGACTGGCTCGGGGAAATTCTCTTAATTTATTACCAATCCAATGCGAGGGGGGTAATTAGAAATAAAACCTACATCTTAAGAGATCTTTTCTCCACCCCTCCCTTTTTGGCAAGTTCAATTTAATGTCTGATTTTCCTCTACCTCCGCCCCCTGAATGGGGGGTTGCAGTCAGTTCATTACACGTCTCTGCCACTTCTTCCGCCTCACGCTCTTCCCCTGCTCCAGTGTGGGTCCCTTCTGTGGGTTGCAGTCCCTCAGGAGCAGATGCTCCAGTGTGGGGGATCACAAGTCCTGCCAGCAAACCTGCTCCAGCGTGGGCTCCTCTCTCCATGGGGCTGCGGGTCCTGCCAGGAGCCTGCTCCAGAGTGGGCTTGCCATGGGGTCACAGCCTCATTCAGGCATCTACCTGCTCCACCGTAGGGTCTTCCATGGGCTGCAGGTGGATATCTGCTCTTCTGTGGACCTCCATGGGTTCCAGGGGGACATCCTGACTCACCATGGTCTTCACCAGAGGCTGCAGGGGAATCTCTGCTCTGGTGTCTGGACCACCACCTCCCCCTCCTCCTTCCCTGACCTTGGTGTCTGCAGAGTTGTTTCCATCAAACATTCTCACTCCTATCTCCAGCTACTGTTGCCCAGCAGTTTTTCCCCTTCTTAAATACATTATCCCAGAAGTGCTACCACCATCACTGATGGGCTCAACCTTGACCAAGAGTGGGTCTGTCTTGAAGCCAGCTGGCACTGGCTCTGTCAGACATGGGGGAAGCTTCTAGCAGCTTCTCATAGAAACCACCCCCTTAGTTCCCCTGCTACCAAAACCTTGCCACACAAACACAATACAGAATTAATTCTTCCTGACCATACCTTCTTTCCGTGCCTCATTTAGGCATAGCTATCTAGCTACAAAGAGCCTTTGCTTGGAAAAATCTTGGCAGAGTTAACACTTTCTTCCTATGGCTGCTCCTGCCCACTGACAGTTCACTGTTCATGGCCTTCATCTGCTTTCCCAAATTTTCCTTCTATGCTATGAACCACTAGTCCTCTTTCTTGAATTTTGCCTTGTATCTCCCTCTCTTCTCTTTGGTTTCATCTGTATCCTTACTACTCTTTAAGCAATGGCATCCTTCTCTTTTCAGGTTGTGACTCCTTTTCCCTTCTGCGCTTCCTTGTATGTTTCACGCCTAAGTTCCCAGGTTTTGACCTAACAGTGCTCTGAAGTGTTCATCTCCAAGTCCCTAATGTCGCTCAGTGTTGCAAATGTGACCTCATGTTTTGGGGAGAACAATGTGCCTTACCATTTTCCAGGACTGAAACTTCATTTTGCCCCCCCCCCCCCCCCCCCCCCCCCCCAGCTATTTTTTGTGCAGAGGCAGGACCTGAATGGGATTGGAGGTGTTAATTAGGGACAAAAGTGTATGCTGTTCTTTCTGCTTTAGCTGTGGCAGTAGACATCACAGAAGCAAGAAAAAACTATGCACCCCAACAATGTAAGCAGTTAACAGCTAGCAGTCCACTAGCGGGAGCCAGCAAGTTTCTTAATCCGTAGAAAGAGTTACAGTAAGAGAAACACTGGGTGCAAGGATTTGTTTAAAAAATAGTCAAGGAATAAGGTTTGTCTTTGTGGTATCAAAGATTTGTTTCCAAGACCACAGTTCCTACGGCAAGAAGTCGGGTACTATTTAAGCCCCACCAGATGGGTTTGTTCCATTCGATGTTAAAGAAACACCGGAATGGGAGACTCTCTGAAACGGCCGATTTTCCGTCCTTTACTCGGGAGCAATGGAGAAAAAGGAAGATGTTCAAGCTGGACAGGTCACACAGCACCATCGTGCTGATGTCACGAGCTGGAGGAGCGGTTGGCAACCGTCGAAAGGTAACATTCTATACTGGCTAGCAACAGCCTTCACTGGTTCAACAAGCCTGCAGAAGGTACCACCTCCTTCGTTCAAGAGTATTTTGATGTCAGTTGGAGTTTTGTTTCAAAAAAGCAGCAGAGCTAAGGTTCTGAAGGTCCAGTTTTTGAAAGAAAACTACTGCTTTCAGGATAAGATTACGATTTACCTGAATGTTGATAGCTTTAACGTTTCCATCTGTGCTCTGCGGGTATTAAGAGAGTGGAGAAGAAGTACGAGAGGTGAAAATGGATGCAGTTGGGAATGACCGCCAGTTCCATTTTTATTCCCCCTACGCACAGGTAAATACTGTGGATTTTAGAGTGCTTTGTATCCTTGATTTTCTTGATATACCCATCTTGAAAGGGGGGGGCTTACTAATGTAAAGTTAGGAGTTGATATGTCCCTCTGTCTGGGTCATGGCAGCACCTGTAGATCAAATAGCTGGTTTTTGGAAGCGGTAGGAAGAGCTAATATAATCTAAACTACGGACAATCTCTCCTGTGAATCGGGTTCAGATACTCAAGGAACACATAAGTTAAGAATTGCACATAAAGTTCACCCATCACTTTCTTACTGAATCAACATTATATTGATTCTGAATAAATAGGCCATCAGTGTAATTTCTGCTTATAACAACTACCTGAATTTCTGGAAAGTCAGTTATTTAAAACAAAGTCCTTCCAAATGGGTCTGTCCTTCAAAGAAATGCTTATTTTCCACCTGGTTAAAAATCCAGGGGTGGGTGTAGGGCTCTTCATTATTGTGTCCATTTCAGCATTGGGGGTTTAGGTGTTAATGCCTGGGAGATGGGCTTTGGCTCCAGACCCCAGCGTGTCTCAGGGGATGGCCCGGTCGTACTGGCTACAGTACAGAAATGCTGTGTTTTGGAGACACTGATCCTAGATGCAGCTGTTAATGTCTGGACCTGGGTGCAGCTTACCTTCAAATATCTTAAAGTGTGACTTTGTTTTCCTTTCAAAAACTAGAGAGAAACTCATTCAGAAATAATCAGCAACCTAGCATTTATAACTCTCAGCTGGGATGTAGTCCATAGCCAGGATGTGAACCTGAGTTTCTATTTGTCGCTATAATACTGTTGTACGTGGACTACTGTCTCACCTACCCCATTAATTAAAACCAAAAAGTTTATAAAGAGGAGATTCACATTTAAGGCAGCCACTAGGGTGTGGGAATCTAGTGTGACCTACCCACAAAGTCATTTTCCTCATGAGGATTCCAGGTGCAGATTCTGTCACTGTGAAAAAACTCTTGGCTGTGACACTGTGTGCTCAGTATGGAGACGGGGCAGATGTTCACATCTGTTTTGCAGTTTTAGAGTTAGGGAAGTCCAGGTAGAAAGAGGCAAGTCCGTTCAAACACCTTGTTGAGTCTGAAAACAAAAGAGACTTTCTTCTGTGAGTTGATGTACCCAGTGGGAGTTTGGAACAGAAGGGTTTCTTTCCCTTGTTTTGAAATCTGAGTCTGACAAGTCTGTAGAAGGATTACAGGCTCCCAAATTTTTAGATTTTCAGTTTTGCTTGGGAATCTTTCTGGGTTTCACTTCTTACTCCTTATTTTCCCATAGACCTATGTCCTTTATTAGTGAGAGCGTACCAGTGTAAGATTTGCACGTCCAGCAGATTTTGTTTGAGATTGACCTGATTACCCTATTGTGCAGGAAAGGCAATGCAGTCACATATCGGCTAAGTCACTAATTGATTTTTTTCCTTCCCAGCATCTCGTGAAAAGTCTGCAGTACAGTAAGTAGACTGCTTTATTCCTGTTCTTATCTAGGAATAGTTTTACATCATGAAAGCTCCATTGACCTAACTCAAGATAACTTCAGAGCTACCTGGAGCTTAAAATAACTTTAAAGGCAACTTTAAATGTTCTGTAATACCAGAATGCGGTCCTGCAAAATCTTAGTCATATGTTCACAGAAGTACACCGTGTGCTAATCCATTTAGTCAATTTTTATTGTTATATTTACAACATCTGAAAACTCTTCTCTCCTGCAGCAAAAGTACCACAACGTCTCTTGTTTCTGGGAAAAACAACCTCTAGGATGTCTGAGGATCACTTGTGCCTTCCATCATAGCAAACCCCGTTATATAAATGGACTTTTTTTGCCACCTAGTAACAGTGAGTAAATATATTTTCTCAACAATTTGTCCATTAGACTAGGTAAATATGCAAAAACATCCTTCCAGTGCTTCCATAATGCATATTAAAGTGAAGAAATGCACCGTGGTAAATCAGTCAGGTATGGTCTGATATGGCAGCAAGTTCAAGGCAAAGCAAGGAATTGTATTTGCACTTGAATAGGGTTACCACATAAATATTTTTAGCTATCACGTTGCAAATCTTTCTAACTCTCACTTATGTGAAAGATGAAGTCACAAATGGCAATTTTAGTTGCTAAGATCCATGAAGTAAAAATGTTGCTTAACTTGGGGATTTGCTAGATTAAATCTCTCTAGTAATGCAAATGGCCAGTAGGCAGGTAGTCATGTAAGAGAAATGAATATGTGTGTTTGTGGTGGGGGAGGAGGTTGGCAGGGCTCCTAGTAGCAGTATCTGTTGATAGAGTACAACACGTTAAATGGATGAGATGCCCCTTGTGTAGACAACATCAGATTATAGTGCTGTGTGTGCAGATGTATTTCCAGTTCATCATTTGGAATACATTTTTCAGGCTTGAACATTGGATGCAGGCTATTCAAGTACAGTATAAGGCAATACAGTATCTGGAAATCAGAGTCATAATGGAAAAACACACCAATACAAGTTGCTTTTTTTTATCTCAGTCCTTTCTAAGAGGAGCTCTTGCCTACCAGGAGTCCTGGTAGACAGCTGGAATCTGGAATAGGGTAAGAGTCCAGGGCAGGGAACCAAGGCATGTCTCAGATGTTGGGTGGAAGCAGGAGTGAGAGCAAGTCAGCATGACTTGCCACAGGTGCACAAACAAGTGGACTAAAATATCGTTGTTCATGGGCCTTATTTCCAGAGCTGGAGAGAGGTGTTATAGAAGTCCAGAAACACCTCTAATCAGAAGCAAACACTTTGTGTTCCTGAAATTCCCCCAGGAAAATGTAGCCTGTTGTATGTGGGCATGTTGAGCTTAACTAGCCACATAGGACCACGGCATGAACTTGAGTGCTGTTCCTGTGAATGCTCATACTGCTCTTAGTACAGTTCCCACATCCACAGCGTGGGTCCCTGACAGCTAGTGCTGTCGTAACCAACATGTTAGCACGCTTTTGGTGTGGTGTGAGCCCGAGACTATGCCCAGGAGGCACTATGGACAAGGGTAACCTGTAGAAGAGCAACATCCAACAATCAGAAGGAGAAAATGGACCCAACCCTTTTTCTTTTTACTGCAATCTGTAGAAATTCAAAGCCCATGTGCTCCACAATAACACTGCAAACAGTAAAACTGCATTTATTAATGGTAATACTTAGAAATCTTGCTGAACTGATTTAAGTTTGATTTGGCTTACACTGTCTGGAACTAATAATACCCAATTCTGGACAGTGAAAAAGGCTCTATCAAGTTAAAGTGCTGTATCTTACTCTCTCTTGCATGAGATACAACAAATCTGACCTGCCATAGCATTATTAAAATGGGTTTAATCTGATGTACATGCTGCTCATAGTCAAGCAAGAGATGCACAAGAATAACAACAACGGGAATAAAGAAAATGCCCGTACTTCATCTTATTTCTTTAAAACTGGAAAAAATATCCAACTTCAATATTTTTAAGACAGTGCACAGAATCCTGATCATATCTATAGTTGCACATTAGTCAGCTTGAACAAGACAAGAGATTCATAATTTTTCATCATATTTGCTTTCAGTCCATTGCATTTCCTGGCTCTCAGAAAATACTATCTCAGCACTGAAATAGTTTTGCTGCAAACATCATGGGTAGATACCAGTTTCTAAGGGAAGCAGTATCTTTCATGATTTTATTCCAATTAAGTGTAAATTATTTTCAGGAACTTCTTTCTCAAAATCCACATTTTGCAGTCAGCAAAGAGAGCTGTGATTCAGAAAATTCTGATAGAAAAAAAACTGTCTCCAAGCTAAAAATGGGTAAACCTGTGTTTTACGTTGCTAAATGCTTCAAAACTGATGTCACGGGGAGTGATACAGGCCTGCCTATTACTCAGCCTGTGTACAGTTTTTTCACAGGTGTGGTCCTAAACTCATTTACTCACTGCAGCCCAGGTATTACTAATCACGTGGTTCCTTATGTTGTAAATAAGTTAAAAGGGACTGGAAAAAAGAAGGTTACTGATTCAAATGAATCTATCCACCAGCTGGAAGAGATATCCAGCCTTTTTCAAATAGCATAGCATGATCAAAATGTCCCTCTTTTTACAAGACTTTATTCAACAGTGCCTCGTCTGTCCATTCAGAGGAGCCAGTATCCATCTTTCTTCCTACCTTCTGTAGTTGCAAGATGCTCTTTTGCCAGCTTCCACAGGAGATTTTTCCTAAAAGCCACCATCTGTCTATTTAAGGATTCCTTCAATGTGATGATGATTTTAAAACTATACCTGCTTGTCTGAACCTGGATTTTATATTCTAGTTCCCTCCTAACAAAAGAAATACAATGCTCTTTCCTGCAGATGCCCCATTGCAACATGGTATCGGAGAAGGGATTCCGCATCCAGCCCATTGTCAAGAATCACTCAGAAATCAACAGAATATTTTACTACCAATTCACCCTCCACTGATTATAAACCTCAATGATGAAGAGGAGGAAGAGGATGATGAAGAGGACGATGAAGAGGAAGAGAATGGTAAACTTTTTTTTCTTTCTTTTACAAGCAAGTACAATGGCTTTTTTTGACACTTCACAACTGATTTATTAGAATAAATGTTCTGGTTTAGAAAACAGTTGTTGATAAGTTTTTTAAATAGTTCCCAGCTAATCCCCAAATTATTGGAACTGGTAGTCAACAGATGTGAGTCAGGCAACATTTTCTTACCCCTGTGAAATGCCTAGTTGTATATTTAATTAGTGGTATAATTTACATGCTTCTTTAATTAAATAGAGTTGAAAATGGTATCTATGGTTCAGATGGCCATCAAATACTCTTCAAAATTTCTCCAAATTCAGGGATGAAATTACAAGTTTCGATGGTACTTCTTCTATGAGGAAACAAACATTTGAACAGGGGCTGTACACACTCATCACTGATGGTGAAGTGAACACCATCGGTGTTTGTTGATAAAAGATATTGGTGTGACTTCAATTTAATTTGTTCCACTGATTTCCTAAACTCTGTAGGCAGCCTCATTTTATTACAGAAAGTTATTCTTAAATCTAGCAAAGAGAATCCATATAAAACACTTCTCTGCACATAAACCGAATGTGTATGTGTATGTATTTTTTATATTTTTATATATATATATATTTAATTTTTAAAGTGTCATTAAGCTGTTGAATCTATCTCACTTAAAGATGGGATTCATAGAGAAGGAATGAATTGCCCATTCCTGGAGAGTAAAAGTGAGAGAACGACCTACTCCCACGCATGCTCTCACAAATTGCTGTGCTAGTTCTCAGGCATCTTCAAGCTGCTTTTCACTTTGCCCCTGCCCTTCAGTTTGGCTGGCAGGGCTGCCTGTTAGTGTTTCATAACTTGATTTCAGTCCAAGTAAGCCACAGGAGCTTCAACAATATAAAAAGCAGGGCTTTGCTAATCTTAGTAGCCTTACCTGAAACAGATAAGGAGCACTTGTTTCACCAGCTCTGCTGGCAAACATTACAGGATAGCACCTTCAGGCAGAGGTTTTGTGACAAGCACTCCCTGGTGACAGGCTTCATCAGAAGATTTCCTTTTCGGGGCAAAAGAAGGATCGTTTTGAACATGTGTACTGAATATGCTTTTGAATTATTTCAAATCCATAAACATTAACTTCTTAATATGTGTTGTAACTGCAAGTCCATTGCACTTGGAAATACCGAATAGTAAGGAATCATTTTTCTGTCCAGAAGCAGAGGTTGAAGTCAGAAAAAAGGAAGGACCATGACTGAAATTAAATTCCCTATGGTGTTTGATTATTAAGAATTGTTGAAGGTCTTTGCATAGCAATCTAGCAATCTTTTAAAATATTTCCTACAGATGTTCCTAATTGGGTGCCTAGGACTGCTGCAGATATTGAAGAGGAAAGAGCAATAAAGGAAATATGCTATAAATCTGGTAAGTACAAACTTAGTCACCCTTTCCTCAGCAGCAGTTCTGCCAATATAGCAAATTTTGTGTTCTTTTCACTCTTGGGGTATGTATAGGAGAGTATTACAGGATTCAGTATCCTCATGAGCACCAATCAACAAAAACTCCGTCTTCACCTTGGGAAAATAAGCTGTTACCCTCGGAAGCTACCAAGCGAGACCTGCAGAAAGGCAAGTACTTTTCATCTTCTTGAACAATGTTTACCATGTTTAAAATTACTGTTACAGGGAGGAACTATTACATAGTTTGCCCCTTCTCCCTGCTTTTTTAACTTAGTGACAATAAAAGATAGCATATTGCAAAGAGCATAAAAATACTACATTACTTTTCCCCCATAGATATATAAATATAGTATCACACGCATGGTGACTACCTGTATCGACTGTAGAAGGAAAAGGTAGAAATGAGCTATTAACCCTATGTGTACTTTCCTGAGAGATACCACATAGGTCTTGCATATAATTTTTCTTCAAGATTAAGATTTATATTGTTGAATTTTAACCATCCTATGGTTAGCAATGTAGTTTAAATTTCTCATCTAGGCTCCCTGTTGTAAATGGAGAGAGACAGGAACTCTTATGGGGCTCTTTACTGCATCATAAGACAGTGAAAAAGAAAGGTGAGATGAGCCACTTTCCCAGAGGTGCTCCACACTCTCTGCTGGCTGTCCTGGGTGTCTAGAAGATGAAATGTAGCAATACAACAAACTTTTCTGTAGCTAAATTTAGATTAAATAAATACCCCCTTCAAGTGCCTCATAAAAGATAGTAACAAGAGTTCCATTTTGTTTTGAATGTTGGGTTTTATCCATCATCAAGTAGGACAAAGAAATACCAATTAATAGATATTTACCTCCCATATTATGTTTCTCTTTAATTCTTGATCAAATGGTGTGACTGAAAAAAGATCTGTATTACTGTTTTTACTGAATAAGCAATAGTATACTTCCATTTTAGGAGAGAGCATTATTTTCCTACTATAACAAGACAGCAGAGTCGTCAGCAGATCAGTCATCAAAAATTGCTGGACAGAAATATGACCTCCTACTTTCAATTAAAAAAAAATATATTTTCACACAAGTGTGAATTTCAGGGACAAAATCTTGATAATACTGTTTAATGTAATGCAGAATTGAGTAGGATGATGTGCTAATAAAAAATGAGAATAGAAAAATTGTCTCCATTTTGAACAATACAGATATGTGAAGTTATGCTTTCTGGCTGACTGCTTTTGCCAGCCTAAATTATTCAATAGAACTGGGTAAAATTTTTTTCTCCTTTCTACATTTAAAATGTTTGTTACTGAAATAGTTTTGATAAGCCATTTCTGGTGAATATTTAGATATATTTAGACTATAGACAAGGAAATACATGACAAATATATGAATATAGCTCGTAATACTTATTTATAATTAGATTTAGAGAAAAGGATAGAGATGTTTAAATGGACTGCTTGTCTAATTTTTTGTGGGTCTTAATGAATCAGGTCTTTAGTTTCACTGTCTTCTTTACATTTTTATTTATTAATTTCTGTGAAAAACATAATTAGATTAGAAGAAGAGCAGATGCTTTGCGTTGTTCACATTTCTCATGGTGCTCTTGAGTATAGATAACTGTGTGAGGCTCCTTTCCTGTAGGAGGTGATTGTTTTGTGGAACAAATGAACACATTTGTTGAAGAGAAAAGACGTGAGGCAATACCTCAGGAAAAGGAACAAATTGCATCAACGTATTCCAATGGGAAAGGTACTTAATTATGCTATATTTCCTAATTTTTAGATGAGATTATTTCTGTTCCTCTGCAAGTGTGGTGGACGTGGTCTACTTTGCATAAAGCCAGTCTGAAGTGAAATTTCCCATTAGCAGTGTGATTTCTTTTACTGCAAGATGAGAGCAGTTGTAGGTTATGGCCCAGTTCTGCTTCTTGTAGCCTGTTTGCATCCTCTGTTAGGTTCACTGTGAATAGGATCAATCCCTGAGCTACCAAAATCTTTGACACCCACGTGTGTGATCATGTGACATGATGTGCACTTTCCACTTCCGTCAATTAAATAAGATCTGAGCATAGGTGGTATCTCATAGAACATGGTCCTTCATAGAACCAGTAAAAATATGGTCAAGGAAAGACCATAACACTTGATAAAATCTACTTGAAAGCTAGTCACATACAGAAAATTAAAATACTTACACTTAAGTACATTGATGGATAGGCTTCATCCTTTTCACAAGAAAATTCTAGAATGTATTTGACAGTGTAGAAAATGGATCAATCTGACTATTGTAGATACATTGTTACCTGATGATTACATTGCATTTTTAGAGTGAAAATAAACAAAGGACAAATTCTGGATTTAAGCAACCCCATAAACTGAAGCAGAAGTACAGAATTTCTGCTGCATTCTGGCCTGAAGTAAGAGGAAGCAAAAGTGCTTATTGACAAGAGCAAGAGAAAAGGAAGAACAGGCAAAGCCGCATCTTCTTGTAGAGTAGCAGGGGCCAGGTGAAGAGTGCTGTGCTTACTTTATACTAAATATATATATACACGTATGCATACATATGTATACCCATACTTTATAGGTAGTCAGCACTTAGAGGAGAGTAGTGGATGAGTGGGTTGTGTTTATGGCTGCTCTTGAGACAATCTGAAAATAAAGGTACATTCAGAGAAAAGCATAGAGATGTTTCCCAAAAGCATTTCTTAAGTGACTTCTCTGTGGTTTTAGGTACTATGATGACATGCACCTTGAAAATACCACAAATTTGATTAGGTAGGATTCATAAATATCATTCATGAAAAGTGAGAAGCTAAAGAACAAGCAGGTGATATGTAGTTTCTTTAATTTGGAGCCATATTCATCTTTAACCTGTGTATTATATTAATCATTAGCTCAGAGAGGTGGGAGGAAGAGAATGGCAGTGCCATTCCCTGTGCTTACGCACAAGCAGCTAAAACCATTCTTGATGTTGCCTTTCCAGGTGATGGTAATACAATTCCTACAAAATTTAATAATACAAAAAGAGAAGAAGAGAGTTCAGGAAGGAGAGTACCAATAGAGAGTGTTCCCAGAAGAGATTGCAGATCCTTTGAAAATCGAGGTAATGTACTTTAGCATTGGCTTCTCATTGCTGAACATCATGTGGTAAATAAAATAACTGAAAAAAACCATTCTTGATGTTGCCTTTCCAGGTGATGGTAATACAATTCCTACAAAATTTAATAATACAAAAAGAGAAGAAGAGAGTTCAGGAAGGAGAGTACCAATAGAGAGTGTTCCCAGAAGAGATTGCAGATCCTTTGAAAATCGAGGTAATGTACTTTAGCATTGGCTTCTCATTGCTGAACATCATGTGGTAAATAAAATAACTGAAAAAAACCATTCTTGATGTTGCCTTTCCAGGTGATGGTAATACAATTCCTACAAAATTTAATAATACAAAAAGAGAAGAAGAGAGTTCAGGAAGGAGAGTACCAATAGAGAGTGTTCCCAGAAGAGATTGCAGATCCTTTGAAAATCGAGGTAATGTACTTTAGCATTGGCTTCTCATTGCTGAACATCATGTGGTAAATAAAATAACTGAAAACATTTGGATTGTGGTATCCACAAAGAACATTTTACTAATCTTGTTTTCCAGCCTCCAGTCTCCCACAGTATGTCAAATTCTGAGGAACAGCACAACATTTTTGTTTTTTCACTTTTAGGAATTCACACTTCAAACCCCGAAGTAAAACAAAGTTACCAACAAAGGGGTCAAAGGAAGGATGACGAAACTCCTTCTTCTAGTCACTATGCAAGGCAAACTGGAAGAAAGACTTATTTCAATTCTTCAGAGCCTCGAAGATCAGCATATGTAGTCTACCGTACAGTCTCTGTCAGTCAAGAACCAAAGTTCAGTGGACCTACAGGTGGGTTCCTCTTTACACAGGATTCTTCAAATGCTTCAAATATGCCTCTCTGTGTTGTGCTGCTTTTGATTTGTCCCTGCAGGTGAATACTGAGTTATTTATGCCCACATATGGGCAAAGGGAAATTTGTCCCACCATCATTTTCAGAAGCAGACTCCAGCAGTATCCACAGACAGAATATTTATTTGCCTTCACGGCAGGAATACATTTCTCTGCCCCACAAAGAGGAATGAATGCAAGGATGTGCCACTGCACAAATATACTGACCCCCACTTTTTACAGCACCTTTTTTGTTTTATTCAAACTTCTGTTATTGATGTAAATGTTGTGTAAAATTTTGTGATTTATATTATTATTATTATTTTCACATTATTTATATTGGAGAGGGGTCTGAATTCATTCTTCTTGCCATTTGTTCAAGATGATATTTTCCTTCACCTTTTTTTCCATCTCTGAAATACTCTACTTTCCTCTTGGTAGCAGTTGCTACATCATAAATTTGACAAGAAGCCTACAGGTGGGATTCTGAGTCTTGTATCTTTCTTTTTGGCAATCTGTTTTGGATGTAACCATAACTTTACATCTTTGGCTTTATTTTTACCTTGCTACTATAGCGTCACACAATCTAGTACATCATTTAGGTTTTATTTGCCTCTCTACTTTCTGTTTCCATGGTTTCGCTGGATGATAGTGTTTTTTTCATCTGTCACTTCATCAAGAAATTCAGTGGTAAATAATTTCAGTAATTGTAAGTGAAGAAAATGACTTCATATTGCCAGTTTCAGTCATCTCTCTTAAGCCAGGTTGAAACTCCATCTTGAGTTGCCTCCCTGTCTTAGTTTCCAGTAAAAGAAACCTGCTTCAGACAGAGTAACCCCTTCTTTCAGATGAATAAAGTTAAGTGAAATGAATGCCAACATCACTGGTTCATCTCAGGGACAAGTAGTTGTGTTTTTGTTTTTTGTTTTTTTTTTTTTTTCTTTTAATGTTTGCTTTGATTAAATGTGGACAGATTGGACTAGAGATTACAGAGAGAACATTCTTCACGTGAAGAATACATCTTATCAAATTTTCAGGTTAAAAAAGGATAGAGCATTTCAAAACAAAAGTGATCTGCATTTTTGTCGTAAGAGAAACCACTACCATTTTTGCTACCTTTCTTTTCAGCAGTACCTGAGCCCCATGGTTGGAAATGCTCCAAACAAAAGAATCAGCTTGACTCAAATAGAAGACTTTGGACCCAAATGGAAAACTACGGTAATACTTACATGTTGTGTAGAAACTGAAAATTTGGGGATTATTATGGAATTAATAATTTTAATTAATGGATATAAGGTGAAATTAACAGCAAAAAGCAGTTTATTAATATTATCAATTTTTGACCCAATTTTACAGAAAATGGCTAGTCATTAGGCAGCATACGCTGATGCAAAATCAACTGCCTATCATAAAAACGTGACATTGCCTTGTGTCTTGTGATTTTTTTTTTTTTTTCACAAGTAGGGATAAGACAGGAGATTGGTTTATGGATTCACTTAATCTGAAAGCAGTTGAAGCCTTTGGGCAGGTTTTCAGCACAGGAACATTCCCTTTGTTCAAGTCAAGGATGTCTGGCAGAATTGCCTCATTTGGAAGATCCTGCGAGCCTTACAGAAATGCTGCAAGATTGCAAATGATCTTTAAAGTACTAGAGAGGGAGTCTGTATTAAATACTAGCTTCTATTTCAGAGGTGACATGATTCACCTGACACATTCATTGATCCTTCAGCTAATGTAAACTTGAATTCACAGATCAGGCTAAGAGAGTCGTTGCTGCAATTGTAGCTGAAATTAAGAAACAATGTGTATATTTCTTCCACAGACAAATATACGTCAGGATCTTATAATGCACCGACTTGGAGGAAAAGAAATCCACATGCAAAAACGTTCTCTAAGTTCAAAACAAGCATTCAGGTAACTGTTTGATAGACATGTTTACAATTCTGTCTTTTTAGTAAAAGTGACAGGTCTCTCCCCACCTAGAAAACGTGAAAATGCTCTTAAAACTTCCCCAACCAAACCCCGCAAGATTCTAAGCCATGCTGAGTAGTCTTAAAGAGCAGTTGATGATTTTGTTTGTTTGCAGGGATCTAATTTTGTCTGTGTAACTAACTCGTGGATTCTAATTTTTTACAATATTGATGATATGAAAGCAAATTACATACCTGCCTTTACAGCGAGGAGCTACAAGAAGTGGGATTTGTCTTATAGCACTGGACAATGCACAGGAGTGACCTATTTGTCTCTGACTGCTTGTGAAGCATCTGCAATAGCTGAACGATGGTCAGCCAAGGTCCAAATTCATAAAAGGACTTGGGCTACAAAGCATTCACAAGATACCCTCAGGACCATGAATACATTTTACAGCTGTCTTGAAGGGAGAGATTAGAACCTCTGTCTCACGTCCCTCAGATGAATGGCCAAACCTGCAGTCTGCACTTCGGAATGATATTCCCATCTTGTCTCCCATGCCTCTCTGTCCCCCCAAGACATAACGGGGACTTTGCTCTGCAGTTGCACAGTTCGAAGTGTGTGCTAGCAGAGCATCATCATAGTTCTTGCAAGCTTAGCCTTCTAGCTTGCTATGAACCTGCTTCCCTGAAAGGGCAAAGAGGCATATTTGAACCCTGCTGAGCACTGCCCTTTGTTGAATGAATCCTTTGACTGCTACTTTTACAGAAGATGTTCAGGAACACTTTCTCCCAGTGGACTTGTTGGTTTTTGGAGAATATGAGCCTGCTCCAGGAGATTAGTCCAAAGTGGGTGGCTCAGAGAAGTCCAACTTTGTGATTTTTGTGTTTCAAAGCTCTCCAGACGGCCCAGCTGTCAGTACTGCCAGGAGTTTACCCAGGGCAGTTCAATACACAGCATTTTGATTCCCATTGGAGATGCAAATGATGTTTTGAGGCACCACATAGATGCAGAGCACCTAAACCCACCTTCTGGAACCCTTCACCAGGCTTGCTACCATTTTTGGTTGCTTTGTGCAAGTACCACATGGTTCTCAACCATCTGCTTGGGAAGATTTTAGAGGAAAAATATTTGAATGGAACATTTTGAAACATGGGTGGGTTATATTAGGATGAATTTTTTTTTTTTTCTGTTGCGTCTAGAAGTGTTGGAAGTTTACTTCTGAAAATGTTTCTGAAAGAGCATGTTGTTTGATAAATTATACACAAAATATTCTCTGTCTCTATTTTGACAGCAGAGCCAAGAAGACATGGATGTCAATAGAAAAGGAGAACGATATATAGACAGGAGAAAGAGATGAAGCCATTACTTCTATATGCAAGAATAATCTAAATTGAAATACGGGACTTATCAACTGGAAAATACGAAGATGATAAAATTACAAATTCTGAAAATAAGATGCAGGAAGTACATTATAACATTTCAAAACTTCAGTAGTCTTCAATAAATTTACGAAGTTTAATTGGTTATGAAAATTTTACAGTTGAAATGGATTTTACAGACTAAGTTTTAAGGCATAATTCCTAATATGAATAAATACTATTAGTTTTACTTAGCAGTTTTAGAGGACTTTTAATGTAAACAGCAGTAGTAATGCATTCTAGAAAGTAGCTGTTTCAGTGTGAATGACAGATTCTTAGATGGTTTATCTGTTTGCCAGATGTTTGGTCTGAGTTTAATCTTGAGATTTTGCAATTTTAGCAGTTCAGCAAAACTGTGTTATGAACTATATGAACTTCACAACAAAGCGCTCAGAATTAACTGAAATACGTTTTTACAGACATTTTGAACTGAAGTATAAAAATTGGGTAAAGACCAAGACCAAAGTGAGAGAAGATTGATAAGACGGATACTTTAATATTGCTTTCTGAAGAAACAACCATCATATAGAATTATTACATATATGTGACATATATTTGTCTCAGACTTCTTTCTGTTTTTTCATTTACTTGACCTTTGGTTCTCCTTAGAACATAATCAGTTTTGGAGGAGAACCCTTCAAACTTCTTTCTGTAACACTGGGATCCAGTAATTATCTGGGTGATACCTGTGACTGTAAATATAAAAGCTTTTTTCTTCCTTGAAAACTTTTCTTCATTGTGACTCTTCAGAACATGAGGAGAAATCAGATACCTTCCAGCATGACTCCTATCTGAAGTGATTCTATCGTTCTATGAGAAATATAGTCATGCATTTCTCTGCCCTACTTTATGGAGAGTGTCTTGCATAAAACCCAGGTGGTAATGATGTAACTTTTATTCTGCTTAGAAATCTAAATTTTAATAATTTAAATTTGAAAAGGCTATAGTGATTATAAACACATATGCTGTTGGACATCACTTTCCTTAACTGAGAGAAGAACAGAAAAAGCTAGAGTATCTATTTTATCTGAGCATTAGAAAATGTAAAAAACAAGACAATAAACATATTTTTAAAATCAAGGATTAAGTGTTTTTAAAATGTTTCCACCCTTCTAATTAGATATTGTAGTTTTGAACTGTAGCACATGATGCCTTGAGGCAACATTTTATATATCGTCTGCCTGAGGTAATTTAAAATGTTATTCAGGGGAATATTATGTCCCATTATATAAGCCTCCTGCCTGGCCTCACCTTTATCTAGCAGTGCAGCAAGAAGTTCTCAGGTGAACATCCTTTTTGTTTGACAGTAGAGATGAGAAATAGAATTGGATTTGTTAGGAAAATCCTGTAAAAGCTCAAATGACCAAAATGGGGTAACTTTTCCAGGGATGGGATGTGCAGGGTGTGCTGGGCCGTAGCTGGAGACCCGTTCAGTGCTGCACAACTTGGGGCTCCTAGTATCTGAATGGCTGTGTGATTATCTATACTATCCTCCTTTTCTTTTTAATGTGATCTTAAAAAACCAGCATCTTAAGAGATGCTTTATAGAATCTGAGCACCTTTCCAAACTGGGATCATAAAGAACTGAACTAGCACCTTCTGTTTCAATGTAACCCACCTCCCCACCCTAACAAGCCAAAGCCAGAAGAAAATTGTTTTCTAGCATCTTAACATGCAATATTCCTGGCAGAGGATCAGACTAAATGTTAGGCCCAGCTCAAGGGAACGACAAAGAAATGCAGGAGAAGGGTGTGGCCATGAGGGCAACACTTGGCTGATCCTGCATTGCTGTGGAACCACAGCCTCAGTACGTTATCTCTTTCCTTTTCACTGGAGCTTCCTGTAAAGCAATTACAAATACTGTTCTCTTAGCCATCACTTTTTCAATTCAGAAAGTCACAGATACTAAGAAATGCCTCATCATTGTACAGTAAATACATGGGTTAATGAGATGCTAACAGTTCCTGTGAGGTGTTCTAACTGCACTTGACCAAAATCAGAGGAACAGAAAGAGATCAGTGCTTTGTGTGATCAAATCCTTACTTAAGATTGCCCTTTCGCAGCTTCAATGGCACTAAGATCCATGAAAATATTAAAAATACATATGTGTTTCCTAGATCATAGCTGCATCCCCTATTATATTTCTTAATCCCCTTCTTCCTGGTTGTCTCTGCCACCAGAGCCCCAAAGAAAAGTCAAAGAAAATTGAGGATATTCTACATGTCATGCTGTGGGGCCCTAAAGATTGTACTTCTGTGTCTTCACATACTCATTGCATGACAAATCCCTCACACTGGTTTAAAGTAGCAGAACTTGAAAATAAGTCCTGAGATAATGAACCACAGATCAGAGGCAGAGGGCTACTGGAGGTGAGTTGAACTTACCCTGGAATTATGTATGCATGTACATAATATGCTGCTGAATTGAAAGGCCCAGGGGAAATAAACAATTTGTTGCTTTTACCTTACACATGTTAAAATATGCTAAAGTTTTTCCAGATGGTACTTCTAAAACAACATCAGACATCTAATGTAGGTGAATCATATTAGATGGTAAACAGATTAACAGTGGTACCACCTGTATTTTATTAAAAGTCTGCAAAGCTTCCACCTGAGATCCTGCATTCCTGAAGAAACTTATATAGCTAAATTAAAACCACTAACCTCCAGCATTTTAGCAGCACTGGTATTTTAAATAAGCTGTTTAGTAATTTAAGTAGCAAAATCCATCTCAAGTCAACACCTGAATGAGAAAAAAATTGGTTGTTGTAAAATAAAACCTGAACAAAACTTCCTTGGGAATTGTAGAGATTGTTTAAAAAAAGAAGGATTTTGACAATTTCCTCCCAATGAAGACATTTGATGATAAAAGCTCCCTTGTATAGCAAGACTTTATGTAAATATATATATTTATTTTAGAAAAATAATTGAATCTGTACATTATTTAACTAGCTCTGCAGTCACTAGGGGTCAGTGCAGCCACAGCAATTGGCTTGAACAACGCCCCAGAGTGAACCTCCGTTAGCGTGCGCCTTATTCCAGCCCCCCAGAGCTAAAGCCTTTCTGCAGTGCTCTGCAACGGCTTTAAATGAAGAGAAAAGGTCGCAACAGGCTTGTTAAGCTTCCTCATGGCCAACGCAGGGGAGAGGTACAACAACTTATATTCAAAATCGCTAAATAGCTATTATTTTTTTCTTAAAACACAGTGATGACATAACACTTCTCCCTCACCCTACATGTTTCCCAAAAAGGATTTCTGTTACCTCCTGATCTGGACAGCCCTCACCATAGTTTCTTCTCAGGGAAACAGTCTTTGAAAACAGGTGTTCCCAGACTGGGGGTCTCCTTTAACCTTTCCAGTCTAGAAATATTTTAGATCATTTTAAATGCCTTTGCTTTTCACATTCTGGGGATTTTTTGTTTGTTTCGTTGGTTGGTTTGGTTTTTGTGGGTTTTTTCGTTTTTTTTTTTTTTTTTTTTTTTTCGGTGGGGGGATGTGTTTTTGTGTTGTGTTTTTTTTGTTTTGTTTTGTTTTGTTTTGTTTTACAGATAAAAATAATGATAGAAACACGCTACTGTGGTATGTAATGTTTGAGCCACCTGAGTACAACTATTATGCTTAAAATACAAGGGAAGTCCTGCTGCTTCTTTCCTCTTTTTATTTCCTAAGAAAAAGGCAGTTAGGCAGAATTAAATATTGAAATTTACAGGACCTTTTGAGAAGGTAAATTGAACATCTAAAACACTTTTATTGGTTTTAGAACACATATGTAAAAGACACTTTTAGGTTTTTTATGACACATTTTGCTTCCCCTAGACAAAATCAATGTCTTTAGAGGTTGGTATCCTTGCTGCTGCGGTTGATGAAGTCTTGCTAATGAATTTCCACTATAAGGATGGAATGTGCTTCTAACATCTCCACAACTCCTTTTGGCCCCCCAGGCAAAATCTGCAAGGCAGACTTTGAAAATTATACAGCCTTATATGAGTAGGCACCAAGCACAACAAACTCTGACATGACCCATGTTAATTCTGTTGACTTCAAGACAATTATTCATATTCTTAAATTCAAGCATATTTTGACTAATCACAGCAGAGTGCCTTCTAAGGTTTTCACTGCAGTATGCATTGCAGCCTGCCAAATTTATATTGTTCTTGGAGATGAATCAGGATGTAAAATCCAGCAAGACTAACTTTTAAAGTGAAATTTGCAAAGTGGGAAAATATAGCAGGGAATCGTAGGAGGAACAATGAATTATGGAAACGTGACAGTCAGTTGAAAGTTAGGTAGAACATGCCTTGTACCAGCTCTTTCAGTTGGCCAGTGCTGATCACAGCCTTTGTTCTGTTGGCACAGGGCTTACCTGATGATGAAGGGAAGACAGAAGTCTTTAATAGATTGTGATCATAAATACCAGACTATTAACATTCAGAAATTAAGAATTTGGGGGTTTATTTGGTTTATTCTATTATGTTTACATCTGTAGATCATTCTCATAGACCAAAACACATGTCGGCAGGAATAGTGCCTGTCCAGCTTGGACAGATGGACTGCTGAAGTAGACACTGAGATGACTTCTCATGTCACTGCCAGCTGTCAAGAGAAGTCCTGAGGTTGTTGAAGAACTAAGACTGACTAATTTGTGGCTGTATTTTTGTGACCTGTATAAGAAAATTAAAAATATGATAACCAAAATAGTTTTCAAATTACTTAAAATGGGATCTTTGGGAGAGAGAGTTGTTCAGTGTTTTGTGAAGTGACAATCATGTATTCCTTGGTGAAAATGTCACATGACAGAAGCACTGAGATTCCTGGTACACTAACAGTAAACTTTCCTTCAGGTAAGGCAGCTGCAATGTTTCAAGTCTGGAAACTGGCAGATGTTTAGCATTTCTTACCTTGAGGCCACAGATACCTGCTGTTTGATTTAAGGCATTAGAAAAACTATCAGCATGGCTTGAACTGAAGT